CCACCCCAGGGTCCTTCCTCCTGACCTCAAGCCCGCAACATCCCCACCTGTGCCTGCTGACCCCAGCACCCGCCGCTGAACCCCAACATTCTGCTCAGGGTCACCCCAGCCCTCCACTATGCCCCCCAGCCAACAACACCCATGCCAGGTCCAGAACCTGCGAGTCTCCGAAGGTGCCAGCCCCTGGCCACTGCAGCCCACACCTCCACGCCGCCCGATCTTGGGGCCCTCCATTCCGCTCTGCCTCGCAGCCCCGGTCTCGATCCTCTCCCTCCTGACCCCCCAGCACCCCCTTTTCCTCCTCATCCATCTGGCCGGCACCCTCCGCGCCCTGCCTCCCGGAGCCCAGGTGTCTCCAGACCCCTAGGAGCCCTCGCCCGGCTCCTGCGGTTGGAGCGGGGACCAGGCTGGGGTCCCGCCGCTCGCCCTGACCCCTGGAGGGTCCCGGGTGGAGAGGAAGGGCGGGCGTGCCGAGTCCATGAGCTTGCCCGCGGGGCTGGAAGGATGCGGCCCCTCCTCCGCGGGTTCTTCCTCTGGCCTGAGGAGGAAGAGTTTCCAGAAAGGGGGGGCGGGGCCACAAGACCCAGGTTAGGAGAGGGGGCTGGTGACCTTTACTTGCTCGGTCCCCTCCTCCTCCCCTGGCCCTTGGCTCCCCCTACACAATGAACAGCTTGTTGAGAATTTGCATTTTATGAAAATAGGGTGAAAAGACAAAGGGGCCTCCCTCCCATGCTGCCCAGTGCTTCCTCCCTGGCCCATTTGGAAGTGTCCCCACCCCCGAGGCCAATCTTTGGTTCTGGAGAAAGAGGGTCCCCTTATCTTCCTAGCCTGGGGGAGGCCTGTGGGGAGAGTTAACCAGGGCACCAACCAGGAAAACTGTAGGCTCTTTGGGTTCATGGGACAATGGCTGGTCTGGGACAGGGCTTCTCCCAAGGATGAATAATTGAGAGAGAGAGAGAGAAAGAGAGAGAGAGAGAGAGACTACTCTAATTTCTCAAAGGCCCTAAAGCGGCAGGAACCCTCAGCTCTGTCATTCTCACCCACCCCACCCCAAAAAAAAGCAAAATAAAAAGAACTCCCAATCTCTCTCCTAAGTATGATGAGACTTAAGGATACATTTGAGGGCTAAGATTTATTATTATTATTATTATTATTATTATTATTGATCCCAGAAAGTGTCAAATGTATGGCAATGTCAAGCGGTCCAGGTTGAGCTAGATACTGCTGGTCCCTGACTCTAATTTCTCAAAGGCCCTAAAGCGGCAGGAACCCTCAGCTCTGTCATTCTCACCCACCCCACCCCAAAAAAAAGCAAAATAAAAAGAACTCCCAATCTCTCTCCTAAGTATGATGAGACTTAAGGATACATTTGAGGGCTAAGATTTATTATTATTATTGGTCCCAGAAAGCGTCAAATGTAATGGCAATGTCAAGTGGTCCAGGTTGAGCTAGATACTGCTGGTCCCTGAAACAGTCTGTACTTTGGAGGAGGAGATTGGCCCCTCTGTCCCCTGTCTTCCCACAGTTGGGCTGGGATTACCCGCCCTCCAGACCGGGGCCCTGAGCCCAGCTCCCCAGCGCAGAGAAGGCCATGACAGAAAACCAGCCATTAAAAGTTTGGTCCTGTTCCTAGCCTCTGCTGGGTATCAGCAGTCCTTATTGTTTGGTGATTTTGTTTGATTCTAAGAACCTAGTCAACATAGCAGTCTTTCTTTGAATTCCTCAGCATGTCAATACTGGAGCGTATTAGTTCAGGGAAGGTGAATAGTAGTAATAGTCATAGTAATATTAACTAATACACGTGCCCTTCTGAGCTCATCACTTACCTACATTAATTCATTAACTCCTCACATTTCCGTGAAGTCAGTACTGGTTTAGTCTTTACAGTTGGGTTACGTCGCTTTTCCAGGGTTACTGGGTTGGTGGGACTCGAACTCACACGACCTTCCTAACATTCAGTTAGGCTGTAGACTCTTGCTTGTAACATTTTTACTACCTTTCTTTAAAGGTCCCTGTTTTTTCTCTGCCAGGGAAGCCTGGAATTGCTCATCGAGACTTAACATCCTAGTGAAGAAAAATGGCATGTGCGCCATTGCAGACCTGCGCCTGGCCGTCCGCTTGTATGCAGTCACTGACACCACTGACATTGCCCCAAATCAGAGGGTGGGAACCAAACAGTAGGAAGGCCCTGGGCCTCTCTGCCTTTGCCCTCTACCTGTACTGAGTGGTCCATGTGTGTCCTTCCTTGTTGTGCGGAAGGAAGGAAGAGAAGGTCTGTTTATCGGTTGAATCTCAGTGAATTTCACTAAATTGTTCTGCTTTTTCCCTCCCCTTTGACCTGAATGAATGAATGACCCAGACTCCAAAATGTAAGGCCTGAGGTGATCCCCTGATTTGTATCGTCGTATTAATTAGCTGAGAGGGACTTTGATGACTATCTAGAATAATTTTCACATTATCTGCAGAATGAGATTTAAGCCCAGCCCATCATTGGGGCTACATTTAATGAAGTCCTAGACCCCAGTAGCAACTAGATATTACATATTGTTAGTGCCCTGTGACCCACGGTACAAATACCGCTGCCAAGAAATCAAAACAAACTAAAAATCATTCGTGGTGGTTAAAAAGTAGAGGTACAAATAAGAGTGGCCTATGCCACTTCCCAAAGCTAGATTAAAATCCCAAACATGGGAGTTTGCAATAAAAGCATTGATCAGTTCCTCGTCCCCAAGGGGCTTTTTTGGGGTGGTACCCACATTCTGAGGGCTCCCGAGTCAATGCTTTGATTTAAGGAGAGAAGTCATCTTTTCCTACGCGTGATCATATTTCCTTTGCTGTTGCAGATACCTGGCCCCTGAAGTGCTTGATGAAACCATTAACAGGAAGCACTTTGACTTCTTTACTAGTAAATGTGCTCATCTCTATGCCCCGGGGCTTGTATATTGGGAGATTGCTTGAAGATGCATTTCTGGAGGTACTTTTCTCTTCTGCCTTTTCTTGCTCCTGCCTCCCAGTCTAGGATGCTGGATCACCTGAGGATGCTGGTGTTCTGCTGCCTCCTTTTTACAACCTGTGGGGTGCCTAGTGACAGACTCCATCCATCGCAGCTTTCTCATCAAATATGCGGGAACCTTGGAGGTAGCTGTGCGAAGAAGGGTGTGTTCGCTCTCTGGACCAGCTTCTAAAGTAGTGCTTTACATTGTGGTAAACATTCTGGAGGCCTATTTGGCTTTTTATTTTATTTTTTTTTATATATATTTTATTGATTTTTTACAGAGAGGAAGGGAGAGAGATAGAGAGTTAGAAACATTGATGAGAGAGAAACATCGATCAGCCGCCTCCTGCACATCTCCTACTGGGGATGTGCCCGCAACCAAGGTACATGCCCCTGACCGGAATCGAACCTGGGACCTTTCAGTCTGCAGGCCGATTCTCTATCCACCGAGCCAAACCGGTTTCGGCCTATTTGGCTTTTTAAATTATTAAACAGATTGTTCTTGTTGGTCCCGGAGATTGCAGGCGTCCCCTTTATACAGGAGGCATTGTGTGCTAACACACTGGCTCTCAAGCTGCGGCTCCTGGGGAACATGGGTTCTGTTGACAAATTAATA